GGAGCCCTGAAGGATAATTAACAGCTTCAAGCTACCACTATTTAACGTAATTTCTTCATTGCCCAGTTCATAAAATCACCTGAGGAGTTTTTATTTGTTTGCCCTGTTCTGTTCTGCTAGTCAAACCAATGCCTGCTTTCTGCTTCCACATTCTAGTTTCACCAGTCAGAGGTGAGGGCCAGGGGATTAAAATGTGCAACCAGTATCAACACACCCATTTTGAACCAATGTAATAGGTTTTCCTTAAGATATTAGCAAAGAATAAATTCTCACTAGTATAGGTGCTTTACATTCTTAACAGTACAAAGGTTTCTAAATTAAGGTAGAACTTTTTGTCTCTAATTTTGTTATAGAGAAAAGCCTACTGTTCCAAGCATCCCACAGTTATGTGCTCTAAATCTCCAGGGGTCTCTGAGCCTAATTCTTCTTCACACTGCTAGAATATATCTTAATGGCCCCAAATGCAAATGTCTGAGTCAAATGGAGTGTTATTTCTGAGGGCCTCTTTAAATTAGGCCAAATTAAACACACAGCTTTGGTAGTGTGTTAAGGGAAAAAATTAATGAAATATATTCTTTCCTTGGTTAAATCAACCAGCAGAGGTGGACACCATATCAAAGTGCTCTGAATGCAGATAAAGTGGAAGACGGACCCAAGGGAAAGCTGCCTCCTGTCAGTACTTGAATGTGTGATCCTTACACTCCACCCCTGCCTCATTCATCTCGCTTCATTCCCTATCTGCTACCAGAGGCTTTTCTCATCTCACCCTCTGTCTAGTGTCCATCCCTATCTTCACCTCTTACCCCCAAGATAATTTTTCTCATCCTTTCAGGCTCTGGAAGTAAGAAATATTAACAAAGATAGATGATGATGATAGAGATAATAGATGATAGATGATAGCTGGATATAGATGGATGATAGATACATAATAGATGACAGATAGATGATAGATAGATGATGATATAGATAGATAGATAGATAGATAGATAGATAGATAGATAGATAGATAGATGATAGATAGATAGATAGATAGATAGATAGATAGATAGATAGATAGATATAGATGATAGATAGATAGATGATAGATGATAGATAGATGATAGACAGACAGATAGGCAGGCAAATATAGAGACACATTATAAGGAACTGGCTTAGGTAATTGTGGCAGACAGGCCAAGCTAGTCTGAAACCCGTAGGGCAGACCATCTGCAAGTAAACTGCATGCAATTTGGGGACCTTTATAGACCCCTTAATACCATCCAAGGAGTGGAATCCAGGGGCCTGAGGTAAGGAACTCCTTCCCATGAGCAATCCCTGGGGAAAGGCAAGCATGAGCAGACAGGATGATATCTGTGTGAGATGTGATACCCAGACTGAAGTATCTCACAATGTATGTGAAGCTTTATCTCAGGCAAAAATTTTAAAACAAAAAGAAATTGTTAAAGTGAGAAACAGATACTTAGAAATCTAATTCTCAATAACAATGTCTTTGGTCGTGGAATTCACAGTTGAGCCAGTGCTGTATAGGAAGATCAGGGGAAACTGTGCAAGTCATCATGATTAAACAAGTCAGTTCACACATACACTTTTGCAGTCTATTTTTTCCAAATAGAAGGAGGGCTTAATTTAAATTTGTCTACTAATAATATTGTTTATTTTTCAGAGTAAAGTTAAATGCTACTGGATAAATAAATTGTATTTAAAAGACAGTTTAAATTTACTAAGATCACCAAAATACAAGTCTATTAAAAATAGTCCTTGTTTTTGATGTTTATTTCACATTATCCAAGTACATCCAGTTACGCAAATTTACATTTTTATTTCACATCTTTGCACTCCTGATATACATATAACAGGACAAAGGACGTATTTGTAATATTCAGCCAGGAAAACCCCTCTTGGGGGGAAATAAGACTCTCAGCTGCCTCATCCTTTCTGCACATGTACAAATATAATTCTAAATAATTGGAGTGAAAATCAAGATTGGTAAAAAAAGAAAAGTGACTAAATTTTTATTCCACTGATATTATTTGCACTTGTTTTTTTTTAATGATCTTCTAATTATTGAATTGCAATTTAATAAATAACCTTTCTTTGAAATCTTTGTAAACCATTTCAGGAAGTTTAGGTGTCTAGAGGTCTTATGATCTGCGTGAGATTTACACTAGTTACCACCAGTGGTGCTTAAATATTGGTATTATTGTGCTGTGTATTCACCTAAGATATTTTTTAAAGTGGTAATCCATACTGTTATCCCTCTTTTCTGAAAATATCTCTCCAGGCTTGAAAATGAGCAATTATGTCTTCAATTAGGCAAAGAAAAAGGACAGGCCAGTGCAATACAGTACTAATTCTAAAGGAAACAATTGCATTGAATTAAAGGCCTTAACATTTTAGTTTTAATTTTATAAAATTCAAATATATCTAAATCACATTATAATCCTAGATGACCGCATGTTCATTCTGTTCAATGTTGTCCATGAGATCTTTGGTATCACTAGTTCCTGGAATTGATCGACTATTAAAATAGAGAGTGTTTTCAAAAGTGCTCTCTCCAAATAAGTGCACACGTCTTTTCTTATAAAAGAAATATGCAGCAAGGCCAGCGCCAGTCACAATCAGGAGGATCACAATGACCACTATTCCTGCCACGCTGGAAGATGCTTTGTGAGGGTCCATCTTCCTTGAGTTGGCTACAGAGAAATAAAATCATTAGGAAGAATGTGGAGGGAGGTACAGGGTAGAATGATACAGAGAACAACACAACTTCGTTTTTTTTTTTTGTCCAAGAGAAACACAGGACATGAAAATATGTATCTATATGATATAACTGATTATTTTAAATGTTAAAATTATTATCAAGTTGCAAGAATATTTCATCTGTGTAGCACCGAGCTAGTTAATCAATATTTTAAAATATTTATACCTGTCTCAAACTAACTTAAGGCTGTTTACAAATATATCATGTGAAGATAAGTAAAACAGTAGCAAAAATGATGACAGTAAAAAGTATGAAATAATTTGGGAAAAGGAAAAATAAGAGTAGTGGAAATATGAACTCATGAATATAATTAATTAACAAAAAGTACCCATAAGGTTAATAATGAGTTGCAGGCAAGCCATAAAACTCACTTTGAGTTTTTTAGCAGCCAGCAAAACGCATGAGATAGAATCATTTACCTAATTCAAGGCAAAATTTAAAACATTAAATTTAAAAATTTAAATTAAGTCAAAATTTAAAACATTGCTTAAAAAAAGAAAAGAGAAAAACCACAAGATTCCACAGAAATTTCTTCCATGGGTTTTCATTAAGGAAACTCTTCATAATGGATCAATCAGTGTCTTTAATAATATCTATGATAAACACCATTCTAACTCCAAGGCCTATTTTTCTACAGCATCACGCAAGAGAGGTTGATGAAATAATGACAAAGGCTAGTGAAGCTCAAACAATTCTACTGAGAATACAGGACTGGATTATTATTTTTTCCTTAAGATATTAGCAAAGAATAAATTCTCACTAGTATAGGTGCTTTACATTCTTAACAGTACAAAGGTTTCTAAATTAAGGTAGAACTTTTTGTCTCTAATTTTGTTATAGAGAAAAGCCTACTGTTCCAAGCATCCCACAGTTATGTGCTCTAAATCTCCAGGGGTCTCTGAGCCTAATTCTTCTTCACACTGCTAGAATATATCTTAATGGCCCCAAATGCAAATGTCTGAGTCAAATGGAGTGTTATTTCTGAGGGCCTCTTTAAATTAGGCCAAATTAAACACACAGCTTTGGTAGTGTGTTAAGGGAAAAAATTAATGAAATATATTCTTTCCTTGGTTAAATCAACCAGCAGAGGTGGACACCATATCAAAGTGCTCTGAATGCAGATAAAGTGGAAGACGGACCCAAGGGAAAGCTGCCTCCTGTCAGTACTTGAATGTGTGATCCTTACACTCCACCCCTGCCTCATTCATCTCGCTTCATTCCCTATCTGCTACCAGAGGCTTTTCTCATCTCACCCTCTGTCTAGTGTCCATCCCTATCTTCACCTCTTACCCCCAAGATAATTTTTCTCATCCTTTCAGGCTCTGGAAGTAAGAAATATTAACAAAGATAGATGATGATGATAGAGATAATAGATGATAGATGATAGCTGGATATAGATGGATGATAGATACATAATAGATGACAGATAGATGATAGATAGATGATGATATAGATAGATAGATAGATAGATAGATAGATAGATAGATAGATAGATAGATGATAGATAGATAGATAGATAGATAGATAGATAGATAGATAGATAGATATAGATGATAGATAGATAGATGATAGATGATAGATAGATGATAGACAGACAGATAGGCAGGCAAATATAGAGACACATTATAAGGAACTGGCTTAGGTAATTGTGGCAGACAGGCCAAGCTAGTCTGAAACCCGTAGGGCAGACCATCTGCAAGTAAACTGCATGCAATTTGGGGACCTTTATAGACCCCTTAATACCATCCAAGGAGTGGAATCCAGGGGCCTGAGGTAAGGAACTCCTTCCCATGAGCAATCCCTGGGGAAAGGCAAGCATGAGCAGACAGGATGATATCTGTGTGAGATGTGATACCCAGACTGAAGTATCTCACAATGTATGTGAAGCTTTATCTCAGGCAAAAATTTTAAAACAAAAAGAAATTGTTAAAGTGAGAAACAGATACTTAGAAATCTAATTCTCAATAACAATGTCTTTGGTCGTGGAATTCACAGTTGAGCCAGTGCTGTATAGGAAGATCAGGGGAAACTGTGCAAGTCATCATGATTAAACAAGTCAGTTCACACATACACTTTTGCAGTCTATTTTTTCCAAATAGAAGGAGGGCTTAATTTAAATTTGTCTACTAATAATATTGTTTATTTTTCAGAGTAAAGTTAAATGCTACTGGATAAATAAATTGTATTTAAAAGACAGTTTAAATTTACTAAGATCACCAAAATACAAGTCTATTAAAAATAGTCCTTGTTTTTGATGTTTATTTCACATTATCCAAGTACATCCAGTTACGCAAATTTACATTTTTATTTCACATCTTTGCACTCCTGATATACATATAACAGGACAAAGGACGTATTTGTAATATTCAGCCAGGAAAACCCCTCTTGGGGGGAAATAAGACTCTCAGCTGCCTCATCCTTTCTGCACATGTACAAATATAATTCTAAATAATTGGAGTGAAAATCAAGATTGGTAAAAAAAGAAAAGTGACTAAATTTTTATTCCACTGATATTATTTGCACTTGTTTTTTTTTAATGATCTTCTAATTATTGAATTGCAATTTAATAAATAACCTTTCTTTGAAATCTTTGTAAACCATTTCAGGAAGTTTAGGTGTCTAGAGGTCTTATGATCTGCGTGCAATTTACACTAGTTACCACCAGTGATGCTTAAATATTGGTATTATTGTGCTGTGTATTCACCTAAGATATTTTTTAAAGTGGTAATCCATACTGTTATCCCTCTTTTCTGAAAATATCTCTCCAGGCTTGAAAATGAGCAATTATGTCTTCAATTAGGCAAAGAAAAAGGACAGGCCAGTGCAATACAGTACTAATTCTAAAGGAAACAATTGCATTGAATTAAAGGCCTTAACATTTTAGTTTTAATTTTATAAAATTCAAATATATCTAAATCACATTATAATCCTAGATGACCGCATGTTCATTCTGTTCAATGTTGTCCATGAGATCTTTGGTATCACTAGTTCCTGGAATTGATCGACTATTAAAATAGAGAGTGTTTTCAAAAGTGCTCTCTCCAAATAAGTGCACACGTCTTTTCTTATAAAAGAAATATGCAGCAAGGCCAGCGCCAGTCACAATCAGGAGGATCACAATGACCACTATTCCTGCCACGCTGGAAGATGCTTTGTGAGGGTCCATCTTCCTTGAGTTGGCTACAGAGAAATAAAATCATTAGGAAGAATGTGGAGGGAGGTACAGGGTAGAATGATACAGAGAACAACACAACTTCGTTTTTTTTTTTTGTCCAAGAGAAACACAGGACATGAAAATATGTATCTATATGATATAACTGATTATTTTAAATGTTAAAATTATTATCAAGTTGCAAGAATATTTCATCTGTGTAGCACCGAGCTAGTTAATCAATATTTTAAAATATTTATACCTGTCTCAAACTAACTTAAGGCTGTTTACAAATATATCATGTGAAGATAAGTAAAACAGTAGCAAAAATGATGACAGTAAAAAGTATGAAATAATTTGGGAAAAGGAAAAATAAGAGTAGTGGAAATATGAACTCATGAATATAATTAATTAACAAAAAGTACCCATAAGGTTAATAATGAGTTGCAGGCAAGCCATAAAACTCACTTTGAGTTTTTTAGCAGCCAGCAAAACGCATGAGATAGAATCATTTACCTAATTCAAGGCAAAATTTAAAACATTAAATTTAAAAATTTAAATTAAGTCAAAATTTAAAACATTGCTTAAAAAAAGAAAAGAGAAAAACCACAAGATTCCACAGAAATTTCTTCCATGGGTTTTCATTAAGGAAACTCTTCATAATGGATCAATCAGTGTCTTTAATAATATCTATGATAAACACCATTCTAACTCCAAGGCCTATTTTTCTACAGCATCACGCAAGAGAGGTTGATGAAATAATGACAAAGGCTAGTGAAGCTCAAACAATTCTACTGAGAATACAGGACTGGATTATTATGGTTTTAAAACTAAACACTCTGTGCTGATTCATTTACCAATACAGACTTGAAATTTCATAATGGTCTTACCTTTTGTTGTAATTAATGTCTGTGTAGGTTCAACATCAACAACTGTATGTAAAATAAGAGAAAATCAAATACATATATTAAGAAAACATAATTATTACATGTAGAATAGTGAGTATTATTTGGTTCACGGATACATGGAATCTTCCCTATTTGGTTTATTGGGATATGATTTGATATAGATAGATAATAGAAAACTAGATACAGCTATACAGACTGATCTATGTATCTGTAAGGGCATCCTAGAGATGTTTGGTGAATTTGAATACATTGGAGTATCTGAAAATACAATCCTCCAAATTGTATTTAAGCCACTGATACCCTCAAAATCCACTCAATCTACACATAAATGATGTATTCTAGGCTAACAGTTTTCAAATTGGCCCATGAAGTCTAAAGTATTACAAGGCAATAAAAAGAAAAGTAAAATAAGACTCCAACATTGCACCAAAGGGTGTGGCTATCTCAGAACAGTTTTAATATAATATAATTTAATTTTTTTTAAATTAAAATATCATTGATATACAATCTTATGAAGGTTTCACATGAACAACATTGTGGTTTCAACATTCACCCATACTGTCAAGTCCCCCCCAACCCCATTGCAGTCACTGTTCATCAGTGTAGTAAGATGCCATAGAGTCAATACTTGTCTTCTCTGTGCTGTACTGCCTTCCATGACCTACCTACGTGACTACGAATTATAGTGCCCCTTAATCTCCTTCACCCTCCTTCCCCACCTACCCTTCCCAACCCCTTCCCTTTGGTAACTGCTCGTCCCTTCTTGGGGGTCTGTGAGTCTGCTGCTGTCTTGTTCCTTCAGTTTTGCTTTGTTTTTATGCTCCACAAATGAGTGAAATCATTTTTGGTATTTGTCTTTCTTCACCTGGCTTATTTCACTGATCATAATACCCTCTACCTCCATCCAAATTGTTGCAAATGGTAGGATTTGTTTTCTTTTTATGGCTAAATAATATTCCATTGTATACATGTACTACTTCTTCTTTATTCATTCATCTACTGATGGACACTTAGGTTGCTGCCATGTCTTGGCTATTGTAAATAGTGCTGTGATAAACATAGGGCTGCATATGTCTTTTTGAATCTGGGGTCTTGTTTTCTTCAAATAAATTCCTAGAAGAGGAATTCCTGGGTCAAATTGTATTTCTATTTTTAGTTTTTTGAGGAACCTCTGTATTGCTTTCTACAATGTTGAACTAATTTACATTCTCACCAACAGTATAAGAGGGTTTTTTCCCTTTCTCCACATCCTTGCCAGCATTTGCTGTTTCTTGTCTCTTGGATGTTGGCCATCTTAACTGGTGTGAGGTAATATCTCATTGTAGTTTTAAGTTGCATTTCCCTGATGATTAGCGAAGTGGAGCATCTTTTCATGTGCCTGTTGGCTGTTTGAATTTCTTCTTTGGAGAAGTGTCTATTCGAATCCTCTGCCCATTTTTTAATCAGGTCATTTGTATTTTAGGTGTTGAGGCATGTGAACTCTTTATATATTTTGGATGTTAACCCCTTATCACATAAGTTGTTTAAGAATATCTCCCATGTCATAGGATTCCTTTTTGTTCTGCTGATGGTGTCCTTTGCTGTACAGAAGCTTTTTAGTTTGATGTAGTCCCATTTGTTCATTTTGACTTTGGTTCCCTTGCCTGAGGAGATATATTCAGGAAAAAGTTGCTCATGTTTATATTCAAGAGATTTTTGCCTATATTTTCTTCTAAGAGTTTTATGGTTTCATGACTTACATTCAGGTCTTTGATCCATTTCGAGTTTACTTTTGTATATGGGGTTAGACAATAATCCAGTTTCATTCTCTTACATGTAGCTGTCCAGTTTTACCAACACCATTTTTTGAAGAGGCTGTCATTTCCCCAATGTCTATCCATGGCTCCTTTGTTGTATATTAATTGGCCATATCTATTCTGTGCTAGTACCAAATTGTTCTGATTACTGTGGCTTTGTAGTACAGTTTGAAGTTGGGGAGCATAATTCCCCCAGCTTTGTTCTTCCTTCTCAGGATTGTCTTGGCTATTCGAGGTCTTTTCTGGTTCCATATGAATTTTAGAACTATTTGTTCTAGTTCATTGAAGAATGCTGTTTGTATTTAGATAAGGATTGCATTGAATCTATAGATTGCTTTAGGCAAGATGGCCATTTTGACAGTATTAATTCTTCCTACCCATGGGCATGGGATGTATTTCCATTTATTGGTGTTTTTTAATTTACCTCATGAGTTGCTTGTAGTTTTCAGGGTATAGGTCTTTCACCTCCTTGATTATATTTATTCCTAGGTATTTTATTCTTTTGGATGCAATTGTAAATGGAGTTGTTTTCCTGAATTCTCTCTCTGCTACTTCATTGTTAGTGTATAGGAATCCAACAGATTTCTGTGTATTAATTTTGTATCCTGCAACTTTGCTGAATTTAGTTATTAGTTCTAGTAGTTTTGGGGTATATTCTTTAGGGTTTTCTATGTACAATATCATGTCATCTGCAAACAGGGACAGTTTAACTTTTTCCTTACCAGTCTGGATGTCTTTTATTTCCTTGTGTTGTCTGATTGCCATGGCTAGGACCTCCAGTACTATGTTGAATAATAAAAGTGGTAAGAGTGGGCATCCTTGTGTTGTTCCTGATTTTAGAGGAAAAACTTTCAGCTTTTCACTGTTAACTATGATGTTGGCTGTGGATTTGTCATATATGCCCTTTATTACATTGAGGTACTTACCCTTTATACCCATTTTGTTGAGAGTTTTTATCATGAATGAATGTTTAATTTTGTCAAGTGCTTTTTCAGCATCTATTGAGATGATTATATGATTTTTATCCTTTTTGTTGATGTGGTATATTAGGTTGATGGACTTTCTAATATTGTACCATCCTTGCATCCCTGAAATCTCATTTGGTCACAATGGATGATCTTTTCGATATATTTTTAAATTTAGTTTGCTAATATTTTTTTGAGGAATTTTGCACCTATGTTCATCAGGGATATTGGTTTGTTGTTTTCTTTTTTGGTGGTGTATTTGTCTGGTTTTGGTCTTAGAGTGATGCTGGCCTCACAGAATGAGTTTGGATGTATTCCCTCCTCTTCTACTTTTTGGAAAACTTTGAGGATAGGTATTAGGTCTTCTTTAAACGTTTGATAAAATTCAGCTGTGAAGCCATCTGGTTAGGGATTTTGTTCTTAGGTTGTTTTATGTTTACCAATTCAATTTTATTGCTGATAATTGGTCTGTTCAGATTTCTCTTTCTTCTTGGATCAATCTTGGAAGTTGTATTCCTCTAGAAAGTTGTCCATTTCTTCTAGGTTATCCAATAGTTGGCATATAATTTTTCATAGTATTCTCTCATAATTCTTTGTATTTCCATGGTGCCTATTGTAATTTTCCCTTTTTCATGTCTGATTCTGTTTATGTGTGTAGACTCTCTTTTTTTCTTGATAAGTCTGGCTAGGAATTTATCTATTTTGTTTATTTTCTAGAATAACAACATCCTGGTTTTACTGATTCTTTTTATTGTTTTATTCTTCTTAATTTTATTTATTTCTGCTCTGATCTTTATTATGTCCCTCCTTCTACTGACTTTGGGCCTCATTTGTTTTTCTTTTAATTGGTTTATTAATTGTGATTGTAGACTGTTCATTTGGAATTGTTCTTCTTTCTTGAGGTAAGCCTGTATTGCTATATACTTTCTTTTTAGAGCTGCCTTCATTGTATCCCACAGGTTTGGGACTGATGAGTTGTTGTTTTTGTCTCCATCTATTGCATGATCTCTGTTTTAATTTGGTCATTGATCCATTGATTATTTAGGAGCATGTTGGGAAGCCTCCATGTGTTTGTGGGATTTTTCATTTTCTTTGCATAATTTATTTCTAGTTTCATTTCTTTGTGGTCTAAGAAGCTGGCTGGCACCATTTCAATCTTTTTTTTCTTTTTGTGGTCTAGTATGTGATCTATTCTGGAAAACATTCCATATGCACTTGAGAAGAATGTGTATCCTGCTGCTTTTGAGTGGAGTATTCTGTAGACATCCATTAGGTTCTGTTCTACTACATTGTTTTGTGCCTCTGTCTCCTTACTTATTTTCTGTCTGGTTGATCTGTCTTTTGGTGTGATTGGTGTGTTGACTTCTCCTAAGATGAGTGCATTGCATTCTATTATTCCCTTTAATTCTGTTAATATTTGTTTCACATATATAGATGCTCCTATGTTTGCATAGATATTTATAACGGTTATATCTTCTGGTTGGATGGACCCTTTGAACATTATATAATGTTCTTCTTTGTCTCTTGTAACTTTCTTTGTTGTGAAATCTATTTTGTCTGATACAAGTACTGCAACACCTGCTTTATTCTTCCTGTTATTTGCATGACATATCTTTTCCATCCCTTCACTTTTAGTCTATGTATGTCTTTGAAGTGAGTTTTTTGTAGGCAGCACATAGATGGGTCTTGCTTTTTTATCCATTCAGTGACTCTATATCTTTTGATTGGTGCATTCAGTCCATTTACATTTATGGTGATTATCACTAGGTATATACTTACTGCCATTGTAGGCTTTAGATTTGTGGTTACCAAAAGTTCAAGGATAGCTTTCTTACTATCTACACGTTCAGTCTACCTTAAATCACTTATTATGCTATTTTCAGAACAGAGTTTTAAAAGACTGAAGAACTACACAATTCTAAAACAGCAAAATCTACTGAAGAACAAAGTATTGATTTACCTAATTTATTTATTCAAATGTGTTATCTAATTAATAATATCATCTCTTGGGAAGGATATTATATGAAGTTAAGTGGCATAAAAATATTGTTATAGCCCAACAGTATCATGTCATGGGCATATAACACTATTAATTTCCTCAATCCCTGTCCTTACATGGCCTGCCACTCAGTCTTAGAAGGAGACTTAATTGGTTTTACATGATTTATTACATAATAAATTCTGATTCCTCTCTGGAGCCTTGGCCCCTGCTGGTTTAGCCAGGGTGATTAGTTTATCCATTTTCCTCTCATGCCATAAGGCTTTGTAGGCTGGCTTTTCAAAATGCTTAGAACCTCACAAATCCATATGCATGGATATCCCATTATAAATACATTCATATACTAAAATAATTCTGTCAGCTAAGTAGACAGAGAGTGTTTCATGCTCAGTCAGAGTTGCATACAACAATTAATCACCACTGCAGACAGGATTTTTCACTTAGAGATGGGGAGAGTTTGCAAGGGATCTATAATCACATTATAATCCCACACCTGAAATTTTAATATTTGAGAGAAATTGTAGTCTTTGAACATATGTGTCAAATTCTTACTTACTTTTTGGTCTTTTACAAATATATCCTTTGTAGGAAGAGCAGTGAATATTATTCCAAAATCCAGAAGATGCATATAAAACTACACAATCATTTCGTTCACCAGAGGGATCCCCTGTGTTCCAGTTGACAAAGGAGAGTGGATTGTTGTTTATCCATAGCCACTTCCCTGGTTATCAAATAAAACCAGTAAAAATAGAAGTTAAAAATAACCCAACTTAAAATTAATTTTACATATTCACGAAAAACTTCTAAGCATATTGTTCTAAATGCTTTTTTTAGAACCAGATTTTTAATAGACAAGATTAGAATAACCAATTATTATACGGAAAGAAAATGAGATGAATACATTTCTTATAGGTTTAGTTAAAAATTTATACTTAATTAATGCAAAGATGTATACTTATCCTTCTCTAATTTTTTTCTGGCAAAAAATAGAAAATATTTTTAAAGCTTCTTTGACTTAGCTACAGAAGATATTCTTTTAATTAGCAACTTTCAAAATAGCATATATGAGTCATTTAAAATTCCACTTATTTTTTGAAATGAAATATGAATTTGAGTTTTTAAACTCTTCACAAATTAATCATTATTTAAGGTAAGACTTTGTGGAACTGAAACCTTGTTTTACACACAATATTTTGAAATATTTTTTAATAAATAAGTGTTCTGTAAAAATTACCTTCAACATTTCTGTACAATCCTATCCAAAAATTGGCTTTGCTTTGAAGTGGCTCAACTCGATATGATAGAAAACTTGATTCAGCAGCACTTTCAATGGAAACCAAAGAGGAATCTGCCAAGTATACAAGAACAAATATGAAAGAAGTACTTTTAAGTAGCTGGAAATATTTTTATAATGACTGTATTGATACCAGGAGCAAAAAAATCACCCCAGCATCTTAACTTAAGGGAAACAATTTCAGAGTGAACATTCACCCCCTCAGAATTTCAGTTTCCATTCTGAAAACATGACATTTTAAGCATTATTTGTGCTTAAAAGTTCTACAAGCACTGAGAAAGTTGCTGCAGGGTATACAACAGTGAGTAGGTTAACTTTAAGAAGGTTATGGTTCAGTGGTGTTATAAGCTATGGTAGGAATGACTTGAGAGTATTAAGGAATGTAATAGAGGCAAAAATAAGTACAACACGCTATTGACCTGTATTGACCTGTATTGACCTGTCAGATAGGGAGAAGATTTCTTTTAGCAACTAAATCAATCAAAAGGAAGCACGGAGGAAATAGAATTTAAATATCAAGGAGCACAGGATTTCAAATAGAAAGGATAGAAAATAATTTCAGGAAGAGGAGGAATAATAGAAATGGCAAAGAGGGATACATAGAGCTTCTTTAGGCATACTACTGACACATACATGGAATCTTTCATATTTGGTTTATGGTGCTATGATATAAGATATAGATAGATAGATAGATAGATAGATAGATAGATAGATAGATAGACAGATAGATAGATAATAGATAGAGAGACAGATAGACAGATAAGTCTACTGGTAGAAATTAATAGATGGCTGTTTGGTTGGACTAATCTGGTCAATTGGTGAAAAAATATTTGGGTTAGACCTTCATTGCAGATGACAAGAGATCGGTATTCAAGGTAATGTGGTGATAAGGAGCACTTAGTTTTTCTAGGCAGCAGAATGATGCAGTGCACTATAGGAATATTAATAGAACTGTTATGTCTAGGATGTACAAAGTAAGAAGAGGATGAAACTGAAAGTTAGATGACTATGGCATTGACAACTCATATTAGATTCAGTGTCATTTTTAGATTTTGTAGTAAAAATCTATAGCTTTTTAATAATAACAACTAATATATTTTAAGCACTTCATGCCAGATATTTTCATTGGGCTTTACAAGTATGATCTCATTAAAACTTTTTAACAACTTTATTAAATGGGTACTAATGGTATCCTATTTTATAGATAAGGAACCTGAAGTACAAAGGGTAAGTAATTTGCCAAGATCCTAATGACAGTAGAGGGCAGAATCATGTCATGGTGTAGGGATTCTGAATCTTGAGGACCTACTCTTAACCATATGCCTGCATCTGATGTTACTAAGTCTGGAATTATCCCCTTGATAATTGTTTCCATTGCACAATTACATATTCCATTATTAAACATATATATAGTATCCACTTCGAAATATTTGTGTCATATTTTGATGAATGAGAATCATTAACTTTATTTACACAAAAATATAGTCACCTAAAATTGAAAACAAACATGCACTGGAGAATATACACATGCCCATGAAAGGTTCAAGAAGTTCCTAAGCTCTCACCTCCACCTGACCTTGAGCATCTGTATAAGCAGGAAGTGAAGGCTAAGACAGAGTTTTAAACTGCCCACTTATATGAGGTCTGGAGGCATGTCTTCAGACAAGAGTCCCTCAAAATGACCTGGGAAACTTATTTATTGTAGGCACTTAGGGCTTCAAAATACACATAATGGGAGTTCTAGAAGAAAAGGAGAGAAAGAAAGAAGCAGAAATAGAACAAACAATCCTAAAGTTTGTATGGAAACACAAAAGACCCCAAATAGCCAAAGCAGCCCTGAGAAACAACAAAATTGGAGGGATCACACTTCCTGATCTTAAACTATTTTACAAAGCTATAGTAATCAAAACAGTATAGTACTGGCATAAAGAGACACATAGTTCAATGGAATAGAATAGAGAGCCAGAAATAAACCCACACATATACTGTCAATTAATTTTCAAATAAGGAACCAAAAATATTTGATAGGAAAAGGACAATCTCTTCAATAAACAATGCTAAGAAAACTGGAGAGCCACAAGCAAGAGGGTGAAACTGTATCCCTATCTTACACTATACATAAAAATCAACCAAAAGTGGTTAGACTTGAATGTAAGGCCTGAAACCATAAAGCTTCAAGAAGGAAACAGAGTGGGTAAACTCCTTCACATTAGTCTTGGTAATGATTTTTTTTGGATTTGATACTAAAAGCAAAGGCAACAATAAAGCAAAATATAAAAAATGAGACCACTACATCAAACAAAAAACTTTTTCATAGCAAACAAAACTACCAACAAAATGAAAAGGCAACCTGTGAACTGCGAGAAAACATTTGTAAATTGTATATCCTATTAGGGATTTAATATCTAAAATATGTAAGGAACTTACACAACTTGACACTAAAAAACAAATCACTCAATTAAAAATGGGCAGAGAATCTGAATAGACTTTTTTTTCCCAAAGAAGACTTACAAGTAAATGGTTAACAGGTACATTAAAAGGTGCTCAACATCACTAATCATGAGAGAAATACAAATGAAAAGCACAACGGGATATCACCTCATACCTTTTAAGATGGCTAGTATCAAAAGGACAGGCAATAACAAATGTCAGCAAGGATGTGGAGAAAAGGGAACCTTTGTACATTATTAGTATGAATGTGAACTGGTCCATTCCCTGTGGAAAATGGCAAGGGGTTTCCTTAAGAAATTAAAAATAGACTATTATATGATCCAGATTCAGCAATCCAACTACCAGATAAATATCCAAAGGAAATGAAATCACTATCTCAAAGAGATATCTCTACTCCCATGTTCAGTGCATCATTATTCACAGTAGCCAAGGCATGGAAACAATTTAAGTGTCCACTGACAGATGAATGGATAAAGAAAATGTAGCATGTAAATAAAATAGAATATTTATTATTGAACCTTTAAAAGAAAGAAATCTACCATTTGCAACAACATTGATTAACTTGGAGAGGATTATTCTAAGGAAATAAACCAGAAAGAGACAGACAAATACTGCATAGTATCACTTATATGTGGAATTTTTTAGAAAGGCCGAACTCACAGGAACAGAGCAGAGTCAATATTGCCAGGGGCTGGGATTGTAGGAAATAGGGAGATGCTGCTAAAAGGGTACAAAAAGGTAAAAGGGATGAAAAAGGTCTTAGGATCTAAGGTACAATATGGTGACTATAGTTGATAATACTGTATTTTATAACTGAAATTTGCTAAGAGAGGAGAACTTGCATTCTCGCCGAAAAAGAAAAAAAATGTAAGTATGTGATGTAATGGTGGTATTAATTAATTTGACATGGAATCCTTTCACAATGTATATGTATAGCAAATCATCACATTGCATACTTTAAATGTATTATAATTTTATTTGTCAATTGCACTTCAGCAAAGTGGGAAAAAAACATAAAGTAAGAAGAAAGCATCAAAACTTAAGACAGACTTTTGGACAAACCTGAAGAAATGAGGATACAATCCTTGCACACCATGGTTAGATAAAGAATGCTGCCCGGGCATAATCAAAATATAGTAAAAAAGTTTTCAGTAAAATATCCAGTGGGATTTAGTTAAGTGGATTTTTAAATAGAACCTGAAAAATTACTTTGACATTTTGGGAGGGGGGAATTTATCCTTCCATATCATGTCTATTTGAGGGTTTTTTCCCCCACAAATAAGATAACCACATATAAATGATTTTCTATTAATGGCAAAGCAAAATGGTTCCTGGGAACTTGTGGAACCTGAGATTATCAGTAATAAGAAGAGAGCACAACATTCTGGATAACTGAGAATGAGAATCTTAACAATTTAGAATATTAGGCAGAAAGTAATTAAGACATGTTCAGCAAATGATTGTTTTCTACTGTAATTCCTTAAAATATTGAGGCTACAATGTTGGAAATTCCTGAGGGGCCTGGTGTTGAGCATTCTAATACAGTATAAATAAGTGAGAAAAATAGGCAGGTATTTAAGATGGCGGTGAGAGAGGCGAGACAGAGGCTTCCTCCTAAAACTGGATACAATTAGAAAATTTAATTGGCACAACTAATCCTGAGAGAGCAACAGGAAAGAGGACAGTGTCAGACTGCATACAACTGGAGGAAAGAGCAGACCTCACCAAACGGGGTAATGTACCAGAGCTGTGGCTTCATGGGACCCAAGCCCTTCTCCCACCCCAGCTCACGGGCAGGAGGAAGAGAAACAGAGCAGGGAGGGAGTGGAAGGCTTGGGACTGCTGAATACCTAGCTCCAGAGATCTGCTCTGGGAGCACAAACATACATTTCATGGTGCTTTCATGAGACT